AAATAATACCTCAAAAGTAATACCTACTATAACCTCAAAAGATAAGTGATTTGATTGCTCCTTATGTGGTTCCATTTGCAAAGGCTGAGCCCTGTTGCCTAAATATTGCAAGTTTGAACCTAGGCTGCCTCATTGCCCCATGCCAGCCCATGCAGTACAGAGGGGTTGTATCACGAAGATTAACAATTGTCCACTCTGAATCTGGTGGGTAACAGAAAATAAGTCATATTTTTTAAAAAGAATATTATATTGTACACTTGTGACAAATGGGAAAGGAGAAACAGCAATATTCTCTCTTTAATTTGTATGAGATCTCAACTGGTATTTGCCACAAGGTTACTGCAAGTTCCCCTTTATCACAGAAAAAGCAACACTTTCACCCTCATTACCAAGGATGGCAGTAGAGAAAAACTGTGTGCAGACAGTGTGCAGACAGTGGATGACCACAGTTTGTTCATGGTGTCGGAGTCTGCTCAATTTGCGCACGATGTTAGATTGTGAAGAGTACGAAAACTTTGAAATCTTCCAAGCAACTCTGAAAGAAAGGAAAAAATCAGGTACAAAAACTGCTTTTGAAAAAACAATTGTCTTATGTCATGAAAAGACTGAATTGAACTGACCAATTTGCCATCAGAAAGTGTCTCAGACTAAAATATCATTTTTAGTTCAAAGTTTTTTGAAGACATTTTTACTGAGAAATATGTTAATATAACAAGGCTACAATAAAACTAGATAGAGATTTTTAATGTGCTAAACCTTATGCCAGCATTAGTTGAAAGTTTGCTTTGCAATGTATGTACTGTACATGCATATAAATACAGTTGCCGTGGATATTTCTGTCTCCAGAAGAACAGTATGTTGAAAAGTGATTATTGTCCATATGTTTAAATGAGAGTCATAACAGTGCAGCTGCCATGTGTGATCTATTCAGAAAAGTGCTGTATTTTAATTATTTGATATGAAACTCTTCAAAGGTGCCCAGAATTAGGAGAGAGAAATCAATATCTAGAAGACGAGACCCAGGACCACAAACAGAAAAAAAGAGAAGAAAAACCCTCCAAATCTAAAGGTATAAAGTCAACTTTTCTGTGCTGGAAAGGCACCACACTCTCCATCCATCAGGTGGTGGTTTGGATTAATTAGCTACTAACTACTGTACCAAATGGAATAGATGGGCTGAATGATCTCCTCTCGTATGTAACCATTCTTACACTTTCATGTCCTTTTTAAAAGGTTACAATATGTTTCCACATTTGATTTCATCTTGCAGATTCTTAGAAAAGTGTAATAGAAACAGTGTGGTGAAGTATTTCAAAACTAAAGGGCAAAGGTGAAAATAATCAGAAATGTCTATTAAGGAAGCAATGCAGTACTGTTCTAAAGTTCAGATAATACCAGGCGTACTCAATGCCTTGCAAGTTAATTGAGAAAAGTCAGTAAGAAATGAATACATGATTTTTTCATTTCACAAAGCAGTGCTCTATGATCATGACCTAGCAAGAGAGGGAGAGAAGTTCATAGCCTCATCCTTATGGCCAGGCTGTTGCTCTCTAAAACCAAACCTGTACATCAAATTGCTAACACACTGAATTTTTCAAGATTACATTCACTCAGTGCTTCTTAATCATTCTAAAAGCATAGCTTAAAACAACTTTCAAAATCAGCCTCAAACCCCAACAGTAAAAAAAAAAAATCACTTTTAGAAGGTCAGAAGAAATGAAGATTACTCTGTCGTTGAGAATAAGCTAAATGTCATGAACAGTTCTTTCCGGGCCCTATGCAGACGACACGATCCGGAAGGTGAAGAAACAATAGGGAAAATATCATCCAGGAATGGGTCAGGAGACAGGGGGGCGTGTCCGAGGTGAACAGGTGGCCAGGGGAAGTGAGTCCGGGGCAAACAATCCAAGCACAAATCCAAAAGGGAAATCCAAAATGGGAGGCAGAGTCCAAGACCAGGGGATCCATCCAAAGTAATTAAAAACCAGAACCAGGTCGGGACC